AGAGGGGGGGTACTGTTACAGTATCCTCTACAGATCCTAGATATAACTGTATTAGACGCGTACTAGAGTATTATTAGTGCACGTCTAACATAAACATAACATAACATAGACATAAACTTAAGTATAAACTGCTTTAACACTAACTAAACTTAGAACAGGCTTAATTTATACTTAAAGCGCTTAGACTTTTAAGCTAAGTATTTAATTACTAATTTTTTTTTAAACCTTCCTGTTCCTCACACAACGTCTTGTACTTACTATAATACCTCACGTAGTAATTTAACTAGACCTCTGTGAAGCTCTATAACCTTACTCGTGCACAATCGTGACACTTACACTTTAATGCTATAAGCTCTTTAACTTTCTTATTTAGCATCTACTAGTCTAGTGCTCTGTCTAGATAGACATAGAAGCAGTCCTTTAGTGCATAGATGTGTCTGCATGCAGGACATTTAGTGCCTTCTGTTTTAGTAAGTTTCTAGCTTAAAAATAACTTTCTGTTATTTTTTTAATAATGTTAATGTTAAAGTCTACTCTATTTTCTTAACATTACAACTTCTGCACTACAGGTGTCTTTATTTGTGCCCTAAGTAGTTTTTCTACTTTTAGTAAAGTATAATAAGTTATCTGTTATAAAAGCAGCTTTATGCTTTTTTATATATATTAGATAATTTAACATTATGTGTTCTTAAAAGCGCTTTATTATTTTTTTTTTAATTTATGTCTAGTGTAAACTGTCTGCTTTTCTAAAAAGTTGTAGACTAATAAGGGGCAACTTTATTTATAGTAGTTAAAAAGTCCTTTGCAATAGTATTAAACTGTGTTGTTTCTAGAACATTTTGTGTTTCTGCTGCTATAGCAGCGTAATTATACTCTGCTAGCTACAGGTTCTATATGCTTGCGTTTTTTAGCAGCTTTAGAGATGCATTATATTAGTTGCACACATGTTCTTGTTTAAATTAGATATTAACACCTACTGTAGCTTTAAGGTTTATAATCCACTGTCTAAGTAGTTAATCTAGGGAACAGCATGTACACTGCAGATGCAGGCTAACTGTTAACTAGATAAAGACAATAATCTATTAAAAGCTTAATTACTCTTTTTTATAATTATGTCTGTTACTCTTGTACTTGTTAGCCTTAATCTTGTAGTATTTAATAGCTTCTTTAAAGGCTCTAACACTGCTTGTTAATAGCTTGTTTATGTGCGTAGGCGTTTTAACGTTAGAGGCTGGTGAAAACTCAGCTATTAGCGGCATCTCTAGAGCTCTTAGTTTAGAGATCATTTGGATGGTCAACTTAGGATCCACTTGCGGCCAGATGCCGTGCGCTACACATCTCGATTGCAGCTGCATCATCCAGGCTCTGTAGTCGGTGTGGTCTCGAAGGACGACTGTCGCGTCTTGAGGAGGCTGGGTGGCCATTTTGTATCAATGGAGGCACTAAGACTCTTAATTGTTAGATTAAAGCACTGTTTCTAGGCTTCCTAAGATGAATAATGGGTTTAGATATAATGTATAGGATGATTAATTAATTGTATTAATAGTCTTAATTTATTAATCCTTTTTCTGCTCTACTTGTGTTGCTCGGCTTTTTGTTCTGCCGATCTGAGTCCCTCGCGCACTAGCCCTATGCGCGACCAGCTTGCAACATGCTGCAATTTGCTGCAATTTGCTGCAACATGCTGCAAAATGCTGCAATTTGCTGCAACATGCTGCAAAATGCTGCAATTTGCTGCAACATGCTGCAAAATGCTGCAAAATGCTGCAATTTGCTGCAACATGCTGCAAAATGCTGCAAAATGCAGCAATTTGCAGCAACATACTGTTCGAGCTTATTGCTTGTACTATGTAGCAGCTTTCGTCAAACGTTCCTCCTGTCTTGACAGTAGGTGCGCATATCTAACAAATTTATATAAAGCTTTAACTTTTTATTTTTTTTCTTTATAAATAAAATTAGAGCTTTATAAAAGACTTAGACCTTTAAATCTACTCTCTTTATAAATAATTATTAATATATTTATAAAAATGCTATAACCTATACTTTAATAAGTTATATAGCAGCTAGTAAGAAGGCTTTGTCTCTTCTTCTAGCTTAATAGCTAGATCTTGTAGGCTATGTAGTAGTACTTCTAACATCTTATTAGACTTAACTATGTCTACATATTTTTTATACTTTAGTTTTAACTTAAGCTTTATAGGTCTTAAAGAATCTTTAGTGTTATTAGACAACACACTGTAGATGTAGACATCTGTATTAGGACTTTACATAGTTTACTTAAACTCTGCTGTGTTTTCTAAGGCTACCTTAGTGTACTTTAGCACACTATAGTCTTTTACGCCTTTAAATAACATATGTTTTTTTTATAAAAGTTTAGCTTTAAATTAAACTAATTAATCTAAGGTAAACTTAAATATATTAAAGGTCCTTTTAAGTTTGTTACTATAAATAGCACTTTATAAGTCTAAACTATTCTTTAGAAGTTTATAATCTTTATATTTATAACTATAAAGCTATAGACAGTAAAGTCTAATCTATTAAGTGCCTTTAAAAAAACACCTAGTAGAGGCTTAATCTTAAGATCCTGCTCTTTCGCTATTATAGTAGATAAGATGTTTAATTAAGCTTTTTTATCTACTATAGCTTAAAAGTCTTTTAATAACTTTATACTTACTATTACTAATAATAAAGTTAACTTTTTTAAGTATAATAAGTTTTAAAGAGTTTTAAGCTTTTTTTTATTACTTTTTAAAGTAATATAAGCTAGAAGGAAAAAGCTTAGTTTTTTTAGCTTTACTTTTTTTTTTATTTACTTATTTTTTTTAGTTTTATTTTTGTTTTTGTTTTTTATAAAATAATCTAGAGAAATATAACCTAGCTGCTTATAATTTTAGTAAGTAACTTTTATTTTATTAAATTTTTACTTTTTTTTAGCTTTTTTTTAGCTTAAAGGCTTTTTTTATTTTTTTTAAGCTTTTTTAGGTTCTTATTAGCTAGAGGTAAAGTAGAACACTTTTATGTTTCTTTTTTTTTTAACTTTAGCCCTTTTCTTTTCTATAGGCAGTAGTAGGATATATTACTCTACTTTTCTACCTAAGCTAGCGTCTCTTGCTTACTTTATAAAATATATATTAAATTACGCTTAATCTTGTTAAATAGTGCACTACTAAAGTCTACTATTATTTTATTTAAGCTCTTCTTATTAACTTTAGTCTATAATAGCCTAAGGTAGGCTAGAAGTTTAGTTAAAAACTAGTTAAGTTATTATTTATAGTTTTTTATAGTATTATAAAGTACTTTTTTTTTATTCTGCTAAGGTACTTAATATATTAAGCATCTTATTTTTAAGATCTTACTATGTTAGTAACTATAATAAGTTAAGAAGCTTTAAATAAGTGCAGTGTGTTTTTTATAGTAATTATAGTGTTTTATTAATATATTATAGGCTAAAAAAGATTTTCTATAATTTTTAAGCAAAGCTTAATAGACTTTTTTAATAATAGTTTTTATTATCTTTATACTACTAGTTATAGTCTGCCTTATTTTTTTTATATTAGTGCAGTAGTTTAGAACATAGTAGGTTTACTTAGTCTTAAGTAGGTTTTAGTATAATAATATTTAATACTTTAGTTAGCAGCTTATTAAGCGTGTCTATATTACTTACTTTAAATTAATAATAAATTTTTATTATTTTAGCTAGTTCTTACACTTTCTACTACTCTTACAGCTAGGCGTAGGCTTCTGCTAAAGCCTAATTTACAGTGGTAGACTATGTGTTGCTTAGTTTTGCATTAGCCCTTCTAACTCTTTTTAGGCCCTAATTACCTTTTAAATAGCTTAACAAGCCTAATTTATAATAATTTTTATTATTCTTTTTACTTATCTCTTGCTTTATTTCTTCTTGTGTTAGTATTAACTCTAGTTAAGTATTACTAGAAGTAGTAGTTTTAGCTAGCTTTTTAAGTAGTCTTTAAGCGCTAGTTGCATTTAATTCTTCTCTAGCGTTTTACTTTAACACTATTATGTAGGAATGTTGCCCTTAAGCAGTATACTAGCTTATAGAGCAATTTAAATGTAAAGATAGAATAGTAAGTAGCACAGATAGCACTAAAAGCACGCTTTTAGAGAAAGATAGAAGTGTATTGTAGGAGAGACAAATTACTGCTAAGCCTTACTTGTTAGGATTTATGCTTATATACAAAGCACAGGTTATATGACCTCTAAACAGGTCAGGTGAGGCTATAATAGACTGCAGTATACTAAGCTTGTTAAGCAGCTGTTAAAGCAGCTTAAACAGTAGCAGCAGTACTAGTTTTATCTGCTTTAGATAGAGTAGCAATAGCTTTAGTTGGCTTCTTAGGCTTCTGTAGTAGATAATAAGGTTAGTCTAGGTCTATATAGGTCTAGACATCTCTAGACTTAGCTAGTTGTTTAACAACATAGATCTAGAGCTTCTAGTCTGTAGTCTCTAAGAATAAGTTTTTTAGGTTTAACTAAGGTCTTAGACAACATAGTAACAACAATATTAACAATATTAAATAGGGTAGAGAAGTGATGTTTGAATAGATGCAGGTAGGTAGGTGGTTAGATTGAGCTAAATAGCTGTTTGAAGCGATATCCGGGCTCATAACTGTAACCTTGCAGGCACGAGTTATGAGAGGAGTCATGTATTGTGGACTGAAGGTCCAAGGAGCTATTTGATTTATATAGTATTGATGGACGCCAAGCCTAAGGTTGATTGGGCAGTCCATCGTAGAGCCCCCTCGGCTTACAGGTACATTAGCTCCGGACTTAGTAGATGGACCTTGCAGGATTGGGCGCTTAATGGCTGAGACCAAGAAAGTCAGAGTTTTGTTGATCTATTTCTCCGGCACAAGATAAAGCGACAATGACAACTTTTTGGAACTCTTGGGACGCAAGTGTTTCGGCAAAGGCACTGGGAATTCCATTTACTGCTAGACAACATGTCTCAGTACCGCAAATTGAGTACTCAGTCAAGTTTATGACACCAACCCATTTGCAAAATCCAGGACCTTGTCCACCAACTCCTCCGTATGGCTCAAATGGGGAGAGTGCCCAGAGGCGCAGTTGTACACTTTGAACGCCCCTGTCTTCTCGCTCTGCGCAGCTACCAATTTCTCTTGGACTGCTTTTGGTAGCATGCGATCTTCCTCCAAATGAAGGTATGCACAAGGAAGCGTCTCATATGCGTTGTTGGTGAGCTTCGTCATACACATTGGAGACCCCGTCAGCAATGGTTTCCACTTCTGCATTTGTCCCTCATCCAGACCATTAAAAAGGTACTTCTCAGGCTCAAAGACTGTTCCGATGCCAACTCGACCATTTTCCTGCGAGTTTAAGCCAATCAGTATGGGAAATACGGGGCACAGATGGCTGTTACTGTAGACTCACATGGAACTGCAACCAAGGTGGCGTCACAATTCGGCCATCTTTGGGCTGAAAGGTGGTATGTAAAGATTCGCCAAGAGGCACAATGAAGGCACCGTAATAGAAGATGCCGACAATCCCTCCAGTCAGACCTCGAGATTGACGGTGATTCTCTTGTAACTCTGGGATAGCAGATTGAGTCGCGGCAAAGCCTCCGCCTGAATGAGCGACAAGAAGAACTCTTCTGTTTTGATCCTCTACCAGAAGCTTCAGAACTGCGAGTACGGCCTGAGTATCTTCTTCGCCCTGCGGATAGCCGCCAGAGGGAGGATCGAGGTCAAAATTCGGAGAGATGATATCGCCAACATTGAGCTTGGATAGATCGGACATGGGAAGTTGAGGACAGTAGGCGTCGATTCCATGAGATTTCAAGGCATCGACTAGAGGCCGGTAGATAGCAGCATTGTGGAAGAAGCCGTGGCATATAACAACAGCCAAATTGGAGGACATCTTGTAAAGCGAGGCTCAAGGTAAGAAATGTCAAGAAGAGGGCTTTTGATGGGGCTATAAATCGAAATGCAACGGCAGGTACGATGTCAGCGCCCGCAGTATTGGTTCGAGCATGTCGCAATACAAACGCGGCACGGGCTCCGCGCTTAGCCGGGCGGCGGACTGAATTGGCACGGCTTCGTTACACAACGAGACTTGTACGGATGCTGGTCGTGTGGAGATTACTGTTCTCACAGTTCCATTAAGCATCAGGATGAAAGCGCTCTGTTTCGCTACGTAGCTGTCAGGAACGACTCCTGGGTTTCTACTTCTTGCCTTTACTAATGAAACTACAAAGTTCAATCGTACGGCATCCTTCCGATGACGGTATATACATCATACCTCACATAACAACCTGTCCGAATCTCTTCCGCCACCTTTGACTCCTCTCCAGCGAACTCATCAAGCGTCACCGAACCGATAATCCCACGCTCGATCATCATAGCCGCCCAAGCCATCACAGCCTTCGTGTTATTCCTTGTCATGCGTTCTCTCGTCTCAGACACTCTGTCAGAGCTTACCACATCTATCGAAACAGAGCCTAAGCCTGCGCTCCGCATGTTCTCAGCAAGCGTGCTGAAGCTGCTTGAGAACCTCTCTCCCAATCCATCCGCAAACCCCTTTCTCCATCTTTCTGAAACGTCAATACGTGAGCCAGGTTCGCCTTTGAGACACCTCGCGTTCGCCCAATTGCATTCAGTCCACTATAGCCAGCCACCGGAGTTGAGGAGTCGTACAGCGTTGCTAACAACCAACGGCCATTCCGAGGGATCGACACCTGCTGCCAATAGACTGATGTGTACAAGATCGAACTTGTGCCGTGAATGTTCAAGAACGGCTTCTTTGGCGTCAAGTGTTTGCAGCTTGATGTTGGATGGTAGATCTTTAGGATTCGGGAAGAGACCAAGTGATATGTCGAAACCGACGTAATTGCCGCTTGGCATCTCGGAATTTAGTAGACGAAGGAAAACGCCCGTTCCGGTTGCCACATCAGCCACTTCCGGAGACGACCCAAGAGTGCGTGTGATGTCAGGATGCATGGTGTTTAATAGAACGTAGTACTGTTCCTACTGTTACTAATAGTAACAATCTCTTGGCAGTTAGAACGAAAGTGAATTGCCTGCCGTTACTGTACAGTTAATGAGGCTATAGTTACTGCAGTAACTGCCTATACTAATTAATTTCTTGGTGTTTTGGTAACGCGTTCGCGGAGGACGTTTTCGCGCGTAGTAGTACAAGGGCTGCTGTGGAACAGGAGGTGTCAAAACGCGCACTAATACACCAGATTTCGTACCTTTTCAACCATCCTATCCATCATTAGTACAGAATAGTGAATTAACTCCTTAATTTACCTACTTCTCACCTCCAATATTGCCTCCATTGTCACCATAAGTATGCAAAAATTCCTCTAAACTCCACGTAGCACTTAAAGGTCGCAGCACTAGTTTAACATTGCTTATTTAAGTACTCTAGAGCCTTACTTTACAAGCTTTTATTACTTTAAGAAGTTAAGAGCTGTCTCTTAGAGCTCTTAGAGCTTTATAATTAAGGCCTTATCCTCTAGTGTTTCTTTACTTGCGCTTTAACTAGCTAATCTCTATTCTCACAAGTTTTCTAAGGACTCTTGCCTTAACAACAGCCTAAATTTTAACATTAAGTGGGATAATATCTAGACTAGAGGTCGCTAGCTAAAGCCTAGGGGCCTTAGATATTACATAAAGAGCTTAAGGAAGCTTTTTAGGAGGACTTAAACATCTTATATATAGAAATACAGCGCGGATCTAGTGTACGTTAACGAGGAAGGCAAGCGCTTAAAAATCTAGCTCTGCAAGTTTTGCTATTAGCTAGGTATAAAGGATTGTGCGAAGACTATTAATTCTACAGCCTATATTACTGCCCACCTCTGGAAGAAGCACAAAGTTGACGCCTTTAAGGGCAACTATCTCCTAGATAGCCTATTGCTCTATTAAGACCTATTTAAACTAGTAAAGATTGCTAAAAGTGGTGCTAGAAGCTCTTACACGCTATGGCAGGAGGAAGGATTGCTAAGGGCTCTTGTTAATTTTACAATAGTTAGAGATGTCTTGTTTTGCTAAGCTACATTATTAGAGTTTTAGGGCCTTATTACCTAGAATTAACTTAATCTTCTAGCTGCTCTACTATCTGCCCCTGCTACACTGTTAACTTATATCTAGGATGCATTAGAGGCTTAGAAGGAGGAGATTTAATTAATACTAAATTTAAGTAAAAGTAAAATTGCGTTAAGCGCAGACGTGTAGGAATCTCTAAACTATCACTCCTTTCTAGCAGTAGTTGCTTACTTTGTTAGTAAGCAAGATAGTCTATGCGCTATTATTAACCTTAAATCTAACTTCTATCTAGATGCTAATAATAAGGCTTAAGAAGTCTTTATTAGCTTTAAAAATCTACTTAGAGACCACTCTAGATTAAACCTTGCCTGCGCAGCTATTGTAGTTATTAATAAGTACAGCATTGTGTTAAAATTTAGCTGCTTTGTAGGGGATAATGCCTCTAACAACAATAGAACCTTTATTTATGCCTTTAACAAGCACCCTAAGCTCTCTGTAAGCAATACACACTAAATACGCTGCACAGGGCATATAATTAACATAATAGCTAAGTCTATTATTTATAGTAAAAGTTTAAGCATATAGGAAGAAGAGCTTTTTTACTATGCTCCTTACAATTAGTTTAAGCTATATTAGAGGCGTAGAGCAATTAGCAAACTTTATAACTTTATAAACGCAATTATAGCCTTACATAAGCAGAGAGAGCTCTTCGCTACTATCTAGTGTTAAGTCCTTAAAGAGGACTCTCTCTAGACATTTAGCACGCTCAAACTAGTGCAGGACAGCGGGATTAGATGGAATTCTACCTACCTAATGCTCCTCTGCTGTTTAGATCTTAAAGAGGCTATCTTAAAGTTTACATACTAATAAAGGGCTGCTAACAAGCGTAAGATTAATAAGCATAATAGTTTTAGCCCTCTAGCTAACACTTTTACTAATAAGGATTAGAATAAGGCTAAGCAGCTTGTAAACTTCCTTAAGCCTCTTTATTAGATAACTAAACGCCTTAAAGGAGATCTAGGTATAAGCAGATATAGATCTCTCTAGCAGACTCTTGTAGATCTCTAACACCTCTGGATTTGCTTTTATAAGGCCTAGAAAATAGCACAGTCCTTCTACTTTAAGGAGCTCTATAAACGCAGCATTAGTAAGCTAACAACATACTTTATAACTCTTATAATAGATCCTTTTATCTTATACTACTACCTTACAACTTTTTTAAACCCATCTCTACACCTTATCTAGTTCTAAGACAAGTGGGCGTTGTTTACAACCTAGTAGAAAAAGGCTAAGAAGAGCGTAAGAGAGATCTACGCATAATACAAGGCTTAAGAGCAGGAGCAAGAGATAGAGATACCTGCTAAAAGTTAACAACGTAAAACACTAGGTAGCAAGTACTATAATAAGCAGTTTATAGAGACTCTGCGCGTTAATCTCTACCTCCTTACTAGATCCTTAAGCGCTAAGAAGGCACGCATGGTAAATAAGCTGTAGCAGTACATTAATACTGCTTAATCTAATCTCCTAGTTGCAGCTAAAGACAATATAATCTATAGAGATCTGCTTACTTGGTGGCATTAAATTAGGCGTAAGCACTATCTAACGCTGTACAAGATAGCCCTTGATTTTCTATCTATCCCTGCAACAAGCTGTGAGTGTGAGAGGTGCTTTAGCAAAGCTAGAAGAACTATTACAATTAATTAGAACTAGCTATCGCCTTCCACAATTAAGGCTCTGCAGCTACAACGTAACTGGATTGCCAGAGGACTCGTTCACTCAGAGTTGAACAATCTCCGCAACTATATTAGGAAGATTGTGTCAAAATCAAGCCCTCTAGAGCCTCTAGAAACACTAGTAACTGCAGTAACTGCACTAAACAGTAGCTTTACTATTAATTAACTTAGCAGTAACTGTTACTGCTAGTAAGGCTGTTTTAATTCACTCTTTCTATAAGAACGAAAGCCTATTACTGTTAGTAACACCTAAAAAACACTACTAACAGTAACAGTTACGTTCTAATAAACACCATGTCAGGATGTACCAGATATCCGATGTTTCTTCGTTGTATCAGCCGTGATTTAAGAGCATGAGCTACGGTTGGAATACCTTGTCAGGAGCTCAAATTGCTCGGTCATTCTACATGCAAGAATTAGTGATTTCCATGCATCATTGCAGGCGTGGGTACATACCTTGCTGCCTCTCGCTCATTCCGGCCCATGTACTCGGCGTATGAGTCCTCCATTGTTAGGAAATGATCTTGCAGTAGCACAGAATTTCAGAGGGGAAAATATGAAGTCTGAAGCTAACAATGAGAAATATTTGCTCTTCAGTTCGCTCATGGGCCCTGTACTGCGTTGCTTTACCGGCATATCGTTCACAGACTTTCCTGCTCTAAGCAACGATTGCCGCTCGACTTCTACTAGTCTTGATGTCACACTGCAGGGAGTCTGGATTCTTCCGCGTTCCAATATGGTCTTGTTGTCGTTCAACATAGCTAACTGCCGATGGGGTCAAAATTCCAACTCATAACGATTGCTGCATGCATGGGAGTGGCACGTCGGGGACCAAGACAAACGATCAGCTTGGCAGGAGTAGAATGTATCTGCAGCTGCAGGGCGTATGTTCGGGGTAGTTGAACCTATGAGCGGAGTGTTATTATCCGGCGGCGCAGCACATAAGCGGCCCTGAGGATGGTCCAGCGGCGCGAGATTACCCGCGCAGCGAAGATATTCGGAGTCTCACTTGTTAGAGCTTCATGTTACACAGCATCTTTCGTGCGAAAGTTATGAACGCCCGTGAACGCTGAGACTCCATCCTTCCTCAGATGAATCGCCAGTGAGGCCCTCTTCTATTGAACTCTATTGCCCCACCTCTTCTTGAACCTCTTTTTGGTAATTTGTCAAAGCGATGCAGTCGAAACCTGCCAGCTACATTGTCGCAGTCAGCATTCTGGTACCGCTGAGTGTGACCGCTGTCCTCCTTCGAGTGCTCTCGAACATCGAGAGAAAGCAGTCACTGAAAGTCCATGATTATCTCATCTTCTTAGCGGAAGTGGGTACCCTCAGTGACGTCGATCGTCGTTCCGCCCTGCCAAATGGCCACAGATCCGTCCTTTGGGTTACGTTGTCGGAAAGGTCATCGGTTGGTATTCGATCCTCTCAGAGTGTAACGTGACTGAACATTTCCGCCAGCTGTTGCCGTCGGTGGACTCGGACTACATTATGAGGGGCTCTCGTTCTCACAGATCGTTCTCACGCTCAAGGTAACATCCACCCATTCATAGTGCGAACATTTGCTAACTCTTCCTGCCAGATCTTCTAGATTGGAGAATGGGCGTGGACCACCTTCATCACTTCATTTCGATTGGCCATTCTACTTTTTTACATGCAGATCATCAAGACGAAAACCTTCAATCGCCTTTGCTGGGTCACCAGTACATTGGTTTTCGCCTACTGGGTAGCCTGCGTTCTCACAATATGCCTCTTGTGTCGTCCAATTGCCTACAATTGGAACCGCTTGCTGAGGGGATCTTGTGGAGACGTGATGGCGATTGAGATCTTCTCCGGCGTATGGAACATGCTTGTCGACATATGGGTGGTGTTTCTGCCACTTCCGAGTATCTGGAAGCTGCATATGAACGGACAGAGGAAGTGGGATGTTACAGCCTGCTTCGCGCTCGGAATTCTGTAAGCACATGTTGAGCCTTTTCTGTAATGGAAAGCGAATGAGTCTAACGCGTGGATACAGGACTGCCGGCGTCAACCTTGCTCGCATGATCACATCGATCAAGTGTCCAGCCAGTGTGCCCAATAGGTCGTACTACTGTACGATTAGGAGATTTTGAGGCCTGTACGGACGAGATTTTTCGTACGTACGTACGGTCGCGAGGAGGAGAGGCAGCTGTACGTACAGTAGCCGCACCGTTTAAGATAAGCTGTACAGGTAGTACTGTATAATTAATGTACGTTGTAATAATTAATACACTATACTATAAAAAAACAGAGTTAAGGAACTAATAGCCCTCTATAAAGCTATTTTCCTTAGTAATATAAGCAGCTAGAGCCTAGAGCTTACTTCTTACTATTTAGTGTTTAATCTAGTGCTTCTGCAGCTGTATAGCCTTAATTATTACACTTAATAAGTAGTTATAATTATTAGTTATAGTATAACTAGTAGCACTAAAACATCTTTTGCACTTATAGCGTGTAGCTAGAATAGTAAGAAAATTAAGAGTAATCTTATAAAGGATAGAATAGCTTAATTTGCCTCTAGTAAGCTACTACTATACAGGATCTCTATGTAGTAATAAGTAATTCTTATAGAGATTAAGGCATATAGTGTTATAGTAAAATTGCAGCTTATTTAATAGCCTTTTATACTTATATAAGCACGTATTTATTATAAGAGAGAGTGTCCGTACGCAGCAGCAGCGTCGCGGCCTGGATACGAACGATCGCGCACGAGCAGGATCACGTATCTATGTCACATAATGCTTGTGCGCGAACCTCTGTGCGCGAACATCTAGATATCCCCTTTTTTCTCTATACAGAGGAAAGATAAGAGCAATAAAACTAAAAACATATTACTCTTACCTTACCTACCTTATACGCTGTGCACACTGTACACTACTCTTACTCTTACTACTTAAGTGCTTATACTATAAGCAGCTAGCTATTAGAGCCTATTTAACACTAATTAGTAGTTAATTTAATTAACTATAAATTAGTAAGAGTAATAATAAAGTACTTACATCTTATAAGGTACTTTATTTTGTTACTTATTTCTTAGGAAAAGTAATAGCAGAGTACTTACGCCCTATAAGGTACTTTATTTAGTTACCTATTTTTTAGAATAGTAGATTAATCCTTTACATTATATAGTAAGCTCTACTACAGTATAAAGTAAAGAGGAGATAGTATAAGACGCACACTAAAGCTACTAAAGCTGCATAACCTAGTAGCTAGATAATAGCACATTAATCCTTTGCATTATACAGTAAGCTCTGCTACTGTACAAAGTAAAAAGGAGATAGTGTAAGGCGCACACTAAAGCTATTAAAGCTGCACAACCTAGCAGCTAGACAACAGCAGTACCTGTGTAATCTACTAGAAAAGTAATTAACTATACTATTATAATAAAATTTTATTAGCAACTAACAACTCTGCGCAATAATAAAAAGAATAAGAAATAATTCTTATTATATAAATAACTTGCAAAGGACATAGAGATATTAGAGGCAACACTACAGAACAAGACTAGCCTAGAGTACTAGAATAATAAGATTAACATATTAAAGGCTTTAATAAGCCTATAAACTTAATTATACGCAAGTTATATAATTACTAATTTATATATAATAACTTAGAAAAGCGCTACTTTTCTAAGTGCATACATAAAAGATTTTAAAGAATAGACACTATAAGACTTCTTAGCACTTAGCTACGCGTTTAAAAAGAAGCTTATATAAGTGCTAAAGGACAAAGGAATTACACTATAGCTAGGCACTAAAGGTACTTAAGCCTAAAAGCTGTATAATATAGCATAAGAGAAAGTAATTACACTAAAAAGGCTTTATACGCAACCTTTATTACTATATAAGGCTTTGCACAGAAGTAGACTAAACATAATGCTACTATTAACACTAAACATACTAGCATTACCTGCTTCTATACCTTAGCTAGCACTACACTAATTACTGTACAAACAATACATGCCACCCTACCTAACGCCTGCTCCACACCCTTAATCATACACACCACCGCCTGCAGTAGTGTATGCACCACTAATACTACTTGCATAATCTATACTATATTACAACCTGTATAAACTTCTACCCTAAAGGGAAACTACTAAAGAAAAACTTTTAGCAAACAAGATTATATAATTCTAAAAAGTATAAAAAAAAATAATAACTACATAAGTTAACTATATAACATCTTTATAAATAAAATAAAGATTTTTATTAATCTATGTTAATAGCTAGATATCTAGGAAACTTAGTACACAGACATCTTTCTAGATATCCTAGAAGGTTAGGCGAATATGCACTATATGTACAACATAGGCTCTAGAAATAACTAAAAGCATTTATATAACACTTTAAGCATTATAATAAAGGATTTTATATAAAAAGAAAAAAAAAACTGCAGAAAGCAAAGTTCTATATAAAGAGTAAAACTATTCTAGTAAAAAAGCAGCCTATTAAGTTTAATAATAAAAGAATTAAACTTACACACAATATAGTAGTTTTTACTTAGAAAAGATAAGTAAGCTACCTTTATATAATTAACCTAGAGAATAAAGATGCTGCACAATAATATATTAAGTAATGTGTAAAAAAGGTATACATTGCATCTATGTGTTAACTAGAGGCAGTATTTAACTTATTTATTACTGCATAAACTATAGACTTTTTGCATAATAACATTAACATACTTAACGCATAAATCTAATAGCAGATAGATAATAGTAAGTATAGTCTTACCTTTCTACTATTACAGCTTAATTATGCAAAGCTGTTTATCTTTATAAATAGATTATTTACTAATAACAAAGACCTTAGCTTACAGCTAGAATTTTTAATTATATTAGGCAATAAAGACTATACAGAGCAAAGTAACTGCTTTAAAATACTAGGTAACATTATACACTAAAATTCTACTAAGTGTAAAAGAGTAACTAGAAGTGTTCTTACTAGTAAACTATACAGAATAGTTAAAAGGTTTAATAATGTAATTACACTTAGTACAACTCTATAGTAAATTATATAAATGCTTAAACTACTACTAATTCTAGTAGTAATTTACACAAATTTAAGGTCTCTATATAATTGCCTTATTAAGCTAGGCACTACTAGTAAAAAGTAACTTATAATTAACATTATGTTACTCTATAAATTATATAAGAAGAGAGAAATTACTAAAATAAAGTAGATTAATAGTAAAAACTACCTAGTAGATGTATGTATAAAGAAAACACTAAACTAAGCTTTTTAATTATTAGTCCTAACTAACTGCCTCTCTGTCTAGATAGAAGCATCTGTGGACTAGCTAGATCTTGTGCGCAAAGATGCCTTAGACTAACTAGACTAACAACACCTTTATATAAGGCCTATCTCTTTTATTTTTTTTATTGTACGCACTTATTTTTCTTATTACAAGATTAGAAGAGAAGGATATGTAAAAAAAACAGTTTATTTGCTTAGTATACAGGAGAAGAAAAAGCTACCACCCCTTATGTATAGTAGTCACAATGCAGACCACAGCTCTGCTATATGCATAAGGTGTAGGCATTAGCTTAGAAGTTAGCTAACACATAACACTTAATAAAAAAAAAAGCACTAGTAGTGCTACTATAATAATAAGCACACAGAGTTACTAGGACTTAACTATAACTCTAGACTAGAACTGCACAGAAGTACCTCTTATAACACACAACTTTTGCTGCCTACAGCTGCAGATTAGTGCTAGCAGGCAAGATAATATTAATATTATAAAATAGTAAAGCTGCTACATGCTACTTCTTAGCTTATCTATAATTAGCATTTTATATAAAAAGAAAGTAAAAGAGCTAAAGAATTTATATATTTATGCTAAGATGCTAAATAAACTGCTAATTAGCAGCAGAACTAGTTAGAAGGGTGACACAAATGCGCCCTAGGCTGCTAGACTGCACAAGGACGTTAAAGACGCCCGCACTGACAGCGCTAGAGGTAGAGGAGGAAGGCTAGAGAGACATCTCTCTCTCTCTGTGTGTGTGTGTGTGTGTGTGTGTGTGTGTGTGTGCAGGCAGGAGTATCTGTCACTGTTAGCACTGTACAAAAAAAAGAGAAAAGAGCTAGGGAATAGTATAGTAGGGCTTAAAGAGTAAAGGATAAAGAAAAGAAGGTAAAAAAAAAGAGAAGACTTTATTATATACACCTCTCTACGCACCTGCCTACACAAAGATCCTACACTATTCTAGCATAAAACCCTGCATAAAACAGTTTATACACTACTAAATTACTTATAAGGCAAGCGCATAAAGGCTAAATAATAATAGCCTAAAATGCTTTACACTATTTATAAAGCTATTTACATAGTACAACTAGCTTATCTTAATGTACAGCATTACTAAGGCAAGTTCTAATAAATAGGGTAAAGTAAAAGCAGAACATAATTAGATAGACCTACATAGATAAAAAGGAGGTAACACGTACAGAAGGTAACTTTTTAGACAAAAAGAAAAGTTGCTAGTGTCTGTACGCAGCAGCAGTGTTGCAGCCTAGATACAAACAATTGCGCATAAGCAGGATTACATATCTATGTTACATAATGCTTGTGTGTGAACCTCTGTGCGTAAACATCTAGGTATCCCCCTTTTCCTTTATACAGAGGAAAGACAAGAGTAATAGAACTAGAAACATGTTGCTCTTACCTTACCTACCTTGTACGCTGTGCACACTGTACACTACTCTTACTCTTGCTACTTAAGTGCTTATACCATAAGCAGCTAGCTGTCAGAGCCTATTCAACAGAGAGGTTAATAATAAGACAGTCTTTATAATTAATGTTATAATAGTTACTACTAAGTAGTTTACAACACCTTAGAAATAAGACCTTACTTTTAGTTTTATTTTTATCTTTATTCTTATCTTTATTTTTAGCGTCTATGTTTTATGTAAAAATTATTTCTATTACCTAAGTTACTTT